CTCGGATTGGCCTCCCCGGAGCGAGCCCCGCCCCGCGGTGACGTCACTGGGGCTGGCGGTGCCGGCCGGGTGGGAGCTGCGGCCGCTCTCGGGCTCGGCTCGAGGCAGAGCGGGGCGCGCGGTAAGGGCCGGGCGGGGCCGCGTGCGCGGGCTGCGCGCGTGTGTGTGTGGACAGTGTGTGTGCGGGGGAGTGCGCGTGTGTGTGTGTGTGCACAGTGTGTGGGGGGAGTGTGCGCGTGTATGTGTGTGTGTGCGCGGGGAGTTTACGTGTGTGTGTGTGCACAGTGTGTGTGTGTGTGTGTGTGCACAGTGTGTGTGTGTGTGTGTGCGCGCGGGGAGTTTACGTGTGTGTGTGCACAGTGTGTGTGTGTGTGCATTGTGTGTGGGGGAGTGCACGCGTGCGTGTGTGCACAGTGTCTGTGTGTACTGTGGGGGGAGTGCACGCGTGTGTGTTGGGGGAGTACAGTGTGTGTGTGTGTGCACAGTGTGTGCATAGTGTGTGTGTGTGCGCACAGTGTGTGTGTGCACGCGTGTGGGGAGTGCACGCGTGTGTGTGCGTACAGTGTGTGTGTGCACGCGTGTGGGGGAGTGCACGCGTGTGTGTGCACAGTGCGTGTGTGCACGCGTGTGGGGGAGTGCACGCGTGTGTGTGCACGCGTGTGGGGGAGTGCACGCGTGTGTGCGCGCACAGTGTGTGTGCACGCATGTGGGGGAGTGCACGCGTGTGTGTGTGCGCACAGTGTGTGTGTACACTGTGTGGGGGAGTGCACACGTGTGTGCACAATATGTGTGCGTGTGCACAGTGTGTGTGGGGGGAGTGCGTGTGTGTGTGTGCATTGTGTGGGGGGGAGTGCATGCGTGCACAGTGTGTGTGCATGTGCACAGTGTGTGTGTGGGGGGAGTGCATGCGTGCACAGTGTGTGTGCATGTGCACAGTGTGTGTGGGGGGGAGTGCATGCGTGCACAGTGTGTGTGCACGCTTGGGGTCTTCGGTGTGTGTGTTTGTGTGGGGTGCATGTGTGTGTACATGTATGCGCACAGTGTGTATGTACAGGGTGTGCGTATGTGTGCACAGTGTCTGTGCAGGTGTCTGTGTGTGCAGGGATCTCTGTATGTGTGTGCTTACATGCTTGTGTGTGCAGCGGTCTCTGTGCCCGGATCCATGTGTGCGTGTGCAGGGATGTGTGTGTGCATGGATCTGTGTGTGTGCGCATGTGTGGACGGAGAGCTCTGTGTTTGTGCATGTGATCTGTGTATGTGTGTGCATGCACACCCATGGGGGAACTGTGCGCATGTCCCACTCCCTGTGTCTGGGTGTGTGCCGCTGCCTGCAGGGTGCGTGCCCAGCTCTGCGTGTGCCCTGCTGTGCCCCTCTGCACCTTCCTGCTGGCCAGGGTGTTGTGCGATGCAGGGCCTGGCCTGGCAGGATCCAGGCGGCCGGGGGCCCCCATTGGCAGGCGTGGTTCTGTGGGGCAGGGATAGTGCCTGGCCAGGGCCCTGGGGAATAGGCTGGACTGGGCCCCAGGGCGCGGGAAGGGGCGGGAGGGCCTTGTTGGCCAGGCTGCTGCGGGGGGATCTTTGCCAGAACTGGGAATGGGCGACCGGGGACGGGTCACTTGACGATTTCCTGTTCGGTTCATTCCCCCTGGAGCACCTGGCATTGGCCACTGTCGGCAGACAGGACACTGGGCTGGATGGACCTTTAATCTGATCTGCACCTTTACTCTGGGGCGCTCCCTAGAGCGTTTGCGGCGGTGGGGGGCGGGACCGGGTGCAGGGCAGGGCTGGTGGGACCAGGGGCAGAGCCGGAGTGGCCAGGGGCAGGATTGGCAGGGCTGAGGACAGGGTGGAAGAGGCTGGGGGCAGGGCCCTGGCGACCCAGGGAGGCGGTAGGGTGAAGAGCCCCGTGCCCTGGCTGGCCATGGCCCCGGCCCCAATCTCTGCTACTGCACTCTCCTACCCCCCTCGCCCCTCCCACCAGTGAGAGGGGCAATGGGCCTGGGGCTGGGCACACACCACACCGAGGGTCCTGCACCACCAGGACTCCTGGGGGTTTCCAAGAGGCTGAGCTCCTGGGCCCGGCCCCCCGCCCCTTCCCCGGCCCCGCCCACGGGCCCGGCCCTGCCCTCCCACCCCGGCTGATCCAGTCGTTGACCCCTCAGCTCTGCTGGTTCAGCTCGAGCTCCTGTCCAGGCCGGCACAGGTGGCCAGTTCTTCGGCTCTGATGCCACCTCCTCATGCTGCCCCACACAGGCCCTGAGCGTGGTACCATCGAGCTGGTGCTCTGCGCAGGCCAGCTGGGGCGCTGCCCACTGCACCTCAGGGAAGGCGGCTGACAGCCCAGCGGGGAAGGATGATGCCTCTGGGTGAGGATGGGCCGAGCTGGAAGAAGAGAGCCCAGGACATCCGGGAGATCTACGAGTTCCGTGAGACCCTGGGCACGTGAGTCAGACCAGCCGCCCCACCCAGGGCACCAGCGGTGCCGCTGCCTGGCACTGTGCTGGGACCCGTCTCTATGCATCCCATGTCGCCCTGCCCATCCCGGCCTTGCAGCCCGTCTGCCATGGCAGGGTTTGTAACCCCAGTCCTTCCGGCCGGCAGTGCTGGGGGGGCAGGGCAGGGCGCTGGATGGGGGGAGCTCCCAGCAGGGAGCGCTGTGGGGGCAGGGCAGGGCACCGGATTGGGGGAGCTCCCAGCAGGGAGCGCTGTGGAGGAGCTGCCAGCGGGGCGCTGTGGGGGCAGGGCAGGGCGCCGGATGGGGGGAGCTCCCAGCAGGGGACACTGTGGGGGCAGGGCAGGGCACCGGATTGGGGAGCTCCCAGCAGGGAGTGCTGTGGAGGAGCTGCCAGTGGGGCGTTGTGGGGGCGGGGCAGGGCACTGGCTGTGGGGGCAGCCCCCAGCAGGAGGCGCTGTGGGGGCGGGGCAGGGGGGTGCTGTGGGGGGAGCTGCCAGCAGGGGGCGCTGTGGGGGCAGGGCAGGGTGCTGGATGGGGGGAGCTCCCAGCAGGGGGCGCTGTGGGGGCAGGGCAGGGGGCGGTTTTGGGGGGGGCTCCCAACTGCTCCAGCCCCCGCGCGTCCCCGGGGGG